TGGCAAGCAGTTTTCTGCATGGTCAGCATTGAAGGCCATATTGTCTTTGAGAGGGTCCAGCCAACATTCCAGACAGGACAGTGTTGTTCATCTTCTACACCTTCAACACCCAATATCAACATGAGGCAGTCAAGACTCTGGAACGGTAAAACCATTCCTATAATTTATTTTTACAATGAACAAATTACGACATGGTTTTAAAGCAAGTTATGATTAACATTTGACAAAGTGGTGATGTTCTCTCTTTATGTAATTAAAAACAGCTTTATATATTGTACCAGCTGTCTTCAGAATGCCACACTATATATTCTCAGGAATTTTCCCATTTTTGATTTAGTTTTTTAGTCGCTACATTGGGATTAACCCAGAAAGGGGCACAAAAGCCAATCATGGGAAGATGGTATCCAAAAAGACAAGAAAGACCATTTAAAAAGAAAAAGCAGACGGTGAACGTGCAGGTTTCCACCCTCATCGAAAACCTGATGGACTTTGAGTGGCATCTCATTCAGGTTAGGTATTAATGTGTTCTATCGTAAAACTAAGACTGTACTTTAAAAAGTAGCATTACAGTTTTCTTTGCAGTCAAGATGTCTAAATCTTAGATGTGCACGAAAGGAGCACAATGTTTTGCTAACACTACAGCTACAAAACAAGCCCCAAAGTTTCACAGGTCAGTAAAAGGTTTTAATTTAAAAAAAATATCTAGGGAGCTGGAAGTAGGTCAGTTATGTTCCCTTGACTTCAACAACCTTAGCATGTTGTGCTGCGCAGTTCGGTGTGTTTCGGTTCAGTTTATAAGACGACCCTCACACCAGCTCTGTGACAGAGCATCAGTCCAGCAGGTTTTTAAGTTATGAACCCCGCTGTGTTTACTTGTAGTAATCACAAAATAAACATCAAGACAGAAAAAAAAACTGTTACGGACTGAATATTCTGTTCTTTGTGTGGGAAATGTTTGCGCTTTTGGCGCTGAATCCTGATACTTAACAAATCCAATAGCTGACAGAACAGGCACTGTGTTGTTACTCGGTTGTTATGGCAACGGATCTGCGTATAGCATACATTTGGTCCAAACTAATTTTTTTTCAAGAAAATGAAAGATGAACTAGGTGAGTTCCTGAGACAGTTTGAATTGTGTTAAATGTTAATAATTCATCAAAGGGAAACTGCAAACTTCTGCAAAGGAATAGGGGCTTTGCGTGCCGCAGTAGTTGGCACAGCGCAGTGCCCTGCATATAAACTTTAGGCCGCCGTAGTTCGGAATCTGACTCTAATCCTCTGGTTCGCATGTCTCTCTCTCTGCCCCTTCTCTCTGCAAATTTTCTGTTGGATTGTTGCCATAAAGGCAAATAGTGCCGAAAAACTTATTTTAAAGAAAAGGACTACCGGAGTAATGTGCAACAATGCGGCATGATCTCGGGCTTTTACTCCATCCAACTGATCAGCGCCACTTTTATGTTGAAGCTACTAACCTGGCAGCTTTACGCTCTTATAAAAATACTATTAGACAACATCTGGAAACGAAGTTGAAGCTTCAGTCTGAGGATCTGATAGAGGCGATCTCTGCCGCAGTCTGCATGTTGGTTCATCCCACAAAAAGAGCCGCTGCTGAGTCAGCGGAGCGTCCTGCTGCGCATCGGAATGGAGCAGCAGCAAGTGGCGGCGCAGAATTTAACAATAACTAGCAGGATCCGTTCATAATAAGTTTGATTTGTGATGCGCAAACAAAAAGCACCGTTGTGTCTCTGGTCAGTGTGATAATTTGACTCCTATATGTGCAGCTGTCCAGCATATGCGATCAGTTCTTGTCGGTGTTCGAGGGGCAGGGTTTCCCCCAGTGTATTATAAGCATGGCTTTACTAGCCCCGCCGCCAGGCTAAGCGTTGCTTGTTTACGTTTCTAGGAAAGAAAAAAATAAGTTTTTTGTTTTGTTTGTTTTTTAAAGCCGGGCTGCAAGCACCTCTTTTTCTCTTAACATTTAACTAGCAGAGCAGATTTATTCTTAAGGATAGATTTATAATAGGTTTATAGTTTATGCATTTAAAACCCGACAGCGCAGACCAATCACAGCTGGCGCCTCTGCGCTTTGCCTCGCGCGCTGCCGCTGCTTTACCTCAGCGGGATCGCGCGCTGCCGCCTCCTTTCACTCAAACTGGACAAAGGCTGACCTGTATGGATATTTACATCAACTTACTGTGCAGAATTATGATCCTTTGGAGAACTCTAGGTAAGAGTTTAAAACCCGCCGCGTTAGCTCTTGTCGTGCAGCTCTATGTGAACCGCAGGAATAAGTTGTAGCGAATTCAGAGGCGCGTTGTGGAGGGAGCGGTGAGAATGATTTATCTTTGTGAATGAACAATTATATGGGGCGTTTCCATCTCAACACGCTGCCCAGCTGTCATGTTGCAATTAATTTGTCGAACCCACATGCACAGAACACACTCTGGAGACTGGTAAGGATTAGGGTGATTTATTAAATACAGTGTAAACAGAAATATGTACAAGATGGTCCAGAGCGGGTGCTCGTCTTCGTAGTTCTGGATCTCTGGGTGGAAATAAGACAGGTAAGGGGCATTCAGAGATCGTGGGAATTTCAGTCCTGCTAGAGACCTACTTGCTGATGAGCTTGTCAGAGCCCGGAGAGGTGTACCGCAAGGATCCGGAGCTGCAGGCTGGAACGAGGGCGTGAGCTTCTCTAGAGGGCAGACAGGTGAGTGGAGGGTGATCTCAAATGAGGAGCCAGGAGGGATCCACTCGACCAGGGTTCTGCCACTGACAGAACTGAGAGCTGGTCTCTGGGATTGTGGCCACCAACGGGTAAAATCCGCAGGGTCTCGAAGATCTTGGTCTATCTGCCGAGGTTCGTGGAAGTTCAAAGAACTCAGGGCGTCGTGGAATGACAACCATCACAGGCTAACACTCTGGCACAGGAGTGTAGGCGGCTCCGTCCTGATAAACTCCTCCAAACAATGGTAAGTGGCAGCAGGTGTGCAGCTGCAGGTCCACGCCCTCCAGAAGGTCCCTGGATGCCCCCTGGTGGAGAAACTAGAGATACCCCAACCAGCCTTCCCCAAATCCTAACACCAGCGTGTGGCTCTGTGTCTGTCTTCCCTGTAAAGTTTATGTCTGTGGTCCCGGTTTGCCGGAGCGTTTGTGGATAACGAGCAGCGCTAACCTGATCATGCAGGTTCAGCCCGGTGAGGAGCTTTAACGCTCTCCTCGGAGTCACGCTTAACGCCGATTTTACATTATTTAATTATTTTTAGTATTATTTTTCCAGTTACACGATGCATCAAACCATAGCAAATGCGTTGTCTACTTAGAGTTAATACGCACGGAGATCTGAGAAACTCGTGACTGTCGGACACAGTCGAGTCCCATAAACTCGACCAACCAGAATAGTTTCTGTGACGATTAAAAACTCAACAGACACGAAATGGAAGAGCTACTAAAGCCACATTAGCAGCATTGAATTAAATCTCCTGTTTGTTGCGCATTTCTGCTTAGTGCAGCAGATTACCTCATCATGCAGGGCCGGTCCAAGGCTATATGAGGCCTTGAGCAGAATTTGACTAGGGGCCCCTCTAGCTGCTACAATCATCAGCACCTCTAACAGCTTCTGTGTTAGATTTAGTGAAATATGGGAGAAGGGAGTAGTTTAATTGGCCACCCTAAAAAGCAATAAGTTATAACCACAGTTTACTAAATTGGATTTGTAAATTCAAAGATTAAACTCACAGCATCAGATTGTTGCTATAATAACAAAAAAATCTAACTATGAATATTGTTCTTTGAAGTTTTACAAAGTAAACTTGTCCGCTCCTTAAAATCTTGTATTTAAATGTTAAACAATTTAAAATAATTTATGTATGCCTAAACAATTGAATCAAATTTAACAGCATTGATCATCTCAATAAACAAGTGTTACATTTATGTGGGTGTTAATGCAGCGGGAGCAGACATCTCCGAAAACGTCGGACCAATATTGCAATTAGGTGATGGACTGATGAACCGAGCAGAAATGTGAGATTTACATCTACAGTCTTGCCTACAAACATTGTATAAATAGTGTCACGGTTGCTAAGCAACATAACGCCGAGGTGGAGGCTAGGCAGCTAGCTGAAGGCTACAGCTTCTCTCTGCAATGCTCTCTGCCTTCGCAGGACCCCTCTTCCATAGACCGGGTCGTTTCTCAAGCCCATGACAGAATAAGCTTGAAAGGATGCAAGACCCTGAACTCAGACACAAAGCTCCAGTGGTC